AGTATGAATATACCCTTCCGATCGTTCGAGAAAAGCACTAGGACTTGCGCGTGTTCTCGCTTGCTTTCCCCTCGGTAGTGCGTGTTATGCTTGGATAATGGCTAGAGCACCAACTATCTTTCACTCTCGGCTATTTTTCTTATCTTTTTCTCTCTTGAATGTGGCTATCTTTCTCTCGGTTTTGCATGGAAAATGCATGAGGAAAACTCACGGCCTTACATATATAAAATAAGCAAAAGATGGAGATGAAAATATGAGTAAATCATGAGACCCCACTTGCATTAACCGTGGGCCTCGGTGGCATTTACTGAGCTTAGTCATCGCATGAGGTGGCTCTTAGGGGCTTGCTTCGTCATCACTAAACTACACCAACACATGCCACCTAAAGAAGCTAGTAGGTGACTCATACCATCAACTTACACAAATTTTAACTTAAGTTGAAAAATCTCACGGCAATGAAATATAGCTTAAGCTTGGGTTTATTTAGCTTGATCTTGGTACTTAGTACAATAAGAACTAATAATGGACGGTGCTTAGTAGTGCACACACGCACGGTATGGCGTGGGTTGCTCTCGGCGATGGCTCGCGTACTCGCGTGCGGCAATGCACGACGCGCGCACGCCCTAGGCCGAACTACTAGCAACGCTTGACAAAATATTTATACATAGAAAAATTCGAGCTTAACATGAACTTGACTTCAAATATTAATTCGAACCTTCTGATTTCAAATAATTAATCCCGACTAATAATATATCCGTTTATAAAATAAACGGTTCGGGAACTAATTATCGAAATTGACTTGGTTATTAAAAATAAATAAACCAGATAGACTTTCGACTTAAAGTCGAACTTATTGGCTCGAAAGCTGAAATGAACAATATCAATAAAAGGAAATTCATCGCTTTTATTAATAACAAACTGGGTTATTACAATCTACCCTCCTAAAAATATTTCCATCATCGGAAATACAAAACTGGGCATATATATACAGAATACAAGAAAAGTAATATACATCAAAATTCAAAATCAGGAAAACGAGCTCTAATGTCAGCTTCGCGCTCCCAAGTGGCGTCGGATTCACCGTGGCGATTCCATCTGATACGTACGAGGGGAATATCGCATCTCCGGAGCCGGCGAACCTTACGGTCCAAAACTGCTACCGGTCGTTCCTCGTACGATAAATCTGGCTGAAGCTGGATCTCACTATACTGAAGAATATGATCTGGATCGCACATGTATGTCTGCATCATGGATACATGAAAAACATTATTCACATTGGATAACTCGGGAGGCATAGCTAAACGATAGGCTACTTCTCCCACTCGCTCGAGAACTTCGAACGGGCCGATGAAATGAGGATGTAACTTCCCCCTCTTCCCGAATCGAATGATCCCTCAGAATGGTCGAACTCTGAGAAAGGCTCGCTCTCCAACCTCGAACTGGATATCCCGTCTGTGTTTGTCGGCCGATGACTTCTGCCGACTCTGCGCTGTCTTAAGCCTCTGTCTGATCAACTCTACCTGCTCAACTGTTTCCTCGATCATCTTCGGACCGAGTACCTGACGTTCGTCAACATCGTCCCAATAAAGGGGCGAGCGACATTTACGACCATAAAGTGCTTCGTAAGGAGCCATCTGGATCGACGCCTGATAACTGTTGTTATAGGCCAACTCAACTAATGACAAAATCGACTCCCACTTAGCACCTCTGTCTAGAATCAAAGCTCGGAGCATATCCTAGAGCGTCTGGATGGTCTTCTCTGATTGACGGTCTGTCAATCGAGTAAACTCACATTCGTACTCGTCCACTGAACGGGTACCCTGTTTAAGCGCCAAGAACTGATGCTTGAGCTCTGTGCAATAATAGGCTGGATAATACTTCTCGCGCATCATCTCCTTGAATCGATCCCACGTACAATGCTCCTTCTCGCCAGGACGCATTTCCCATTAGGCATTCCACCAAAGACGTGCGTCGTCAGTCATCTGGATCTGGGCACAAAATACGCGGTAACGATCGGGACAATCCATGACCTCAAAGATCATCTCAAGGCCTTGGATCCCATCGCCAACAAGTCGGGGATCTCCCTGACCAGAAAACATCTCAGGATGGTAGTCGCGAAACTGGGCGACTACGGTGGCTTGTGGAATCTCATCATGATCCTGATCTCTACGTCGAGCCATCTGTATAGTCAAATGCTCAATTTGATCAAACACAGAGATATAGCACAACTAAATTATGTTAACTGATTGATAAAGCACACAAATCTCTTGACGAGTTGCTAAAGTTAACCCGAGAAAAACTAGAGTCGAATTATCGGATAAACTGGAATAAATCGACTATGTCTTGAAAATACTCTATTACTGACTCGAGCATCCATACTGGTCCTAGGGTCAAATATCTGACACCCTACTGAGCACAGTCTTAAGCATTTGTTTATATATATAAAACTGTAAATCAACACTTACCTGGTAATCGGCGAGGCGTGAGCGTGGCGTGGTCGGGTTTTCTGAAAACATTCTGACTTAATAGAGTATTCAGATACACAAAAACGTGCTCTGATACCAATTGTAACACCCCATAAGTTTATTAAAATCAGATTCAAATTTTCGCAAAATATTTTCTAAAAATACTTATTAATTTTGCGAAATCGTAATTCGGGATGCTACTGAAAAACCTTTCTTTTTTGGAAAATCCGTTATCTTTTCTGAGTTAAAATTATTAAGAAAAATGGATTATAATTAATCAAACTAGCATGCAATACTTTATAAAATCCGACTGATAAATTGGATCAAAAATCTGAAAATCCACATGCGAGTCTGAAAAACTAAAAGTGGCAGCGGATGTAAAAACGTGGCAAAACATATAAATATATACAGCAAAAGCCTACAAAATGGCCTGTAGCCAAATCCACGACCACCAGCCAGGCTCACTCCTCTGGACCGACCCTGTGACCTGAAAAAGATGATATAGTGGGGGCGTGAGCATTAAAAGCCACTGTGCTCTGCAGGAAACTCTTGCTAAAGTAAAACAGTAATAATAATTGCAATATCATGATCAATAGTATATATAACTGAAACTGATACTGTCATGTAACTGTAACTGTTGATCAACTGTATATAATCTGCTACGGGATCATAAACTGTATCTGGCGGCTATAAAATACTGCGCCGCTGCCTATGTGTACACACTCTAGTGGGCAGATTACACCACTAGAACTTAGGATGGACTTACGGCTTCCTGGGCTGGCCGCCACCCTAAGCGGACCTGAATATACATACCTCGAACATGATAGCTATAATTATACTCAATGTAATATTCAGTCTAAGTCC